GATGCCTCACCGCTTCCAGTTCCGGGATGGTCCTTCGCGAACAGCTCTCTAGAGAGATCTAGAAGAGAGGAGACAAAACTTCCCCGTGGTCCCCTACCTCAGGGACAACACCTCCTGCTGTTCTGCCGCCTCAGCAAACATTCTGAACGGTATAAAATAATAATAGTATGTCGTGCTGATGTAGACATGAAAATTTTTTGTACCCCCATCAGCACCTCTGACGCACCCGCCTCCCACAAGCCTGACCACGTCCACCAACCAACGGAAAGAATCCTGTATCGCCAATTGATTAACCATCTTTGTCTTTACTACCATTTTAATGCCATAAATTAGTTTCTTTTTTTTTTTTATTTATTCCTTTTTGCCTTGGCCTTTATGTGCTTGTCTCCCTGATACAGGAAAAGCTATTGAGAACTTTTTAGTTACATACTGTTATCAGTGCTGTTCACACTTTCGTTATAAATGTCCCCCCCCCACCCCCCCCCCCCCCAAAAAAAAACCCCACAACACACAAACAAACAAACAACCCCACCCAAAAAAAAAATAAACACACAAAAAGACAAAAAACGAACACAAAAAACAAAGAAAAACAAGCAACAAAACGAATGAACTAAACTAAAGAAAAGAGATGTATATTATTATGTCTATTGTTATTTCTCGTTTCTGTGTCCTCGTCAAAGTAGTATTTTATAATGCTGAGAGCTGTTTATGCAGTGAAAGCCTTTAAATACATTTCTTTTTTTTTCTTCTCCGGTTTACGAGAAGTGGGTATGCCCAGTCGTAGCCAAGCTCATTTCCGAGGAATTCTTCACGATTCTCTTCCCAGTAGCCCAGCGCTCAGTCTCCGTTTGAGCTTTTCTGGCGTTATAAACTCTCGTTAAACGGCGTTTTGACGTTTACCATCAAGTAGGACGCTGATTGAATCCCTGCCGTATCATAGCAACAAGTAAGCCAAATCACTGGCTCCTAGTGAAGCACCGTTGGCATGACTGGCCGCTCGCGAGGAAAAAGGGGATTTGGGGGCGGGGAGGGGGTGTGATGGGGATGGATGGGTAGGGTAGAGGGGGGGGGAGAGGGGCTGTTGCTAGTGTGTTTGCCTGTTTGCTCTGGCGTGAGTTCGAGTACTTGAGGTGTTTTCTTAAAGAGGCTCCTTTATGTGAGTGCTTATTGCTTTGTGTCAGTTGCAGATTCTTTCTCTCTCACTCATTCTCACTATCTCTCTCTCTGTCTCTGTCTCTGTCTCTCTCTCTGTCTGTCTGTCTCTCTGTCTGTCTCTCTCTCTCTCTCTCTCTCTCTCTGTCTCTCTGTCTCTCTCTCTCTCTTTCTCCCTTTCTGTCTGTAACAGTGTGTCTGATTCTGTTTGCGATGGTAATGATGATGATGGCTTGGATGGTGGTGGTGGTTGTCGTTGTTGGTTATGTTGACTCTGTGTGTGTGTGTGTGTGTGTGTGTGTGTGTTTGTATGTGTGTGTGTGTGTGTGTGTGTGTGTATGTGTTTGTTTGTGTTTGTTTGTGTGTGTGTATGTGGGTTTGTGTGTTGATATATGTGTGTACGTATGTGTGTATTTGTGTGTGTGTATGTGTGTGTGCATGTGTGTGTGTGTGTGCGTGTGTGTGTCGTCTGTGTTTGTGTGCTCGTGTGCGCTTGTGTATTTAGTTTTGATTGAAGTTGAGGGGGGGGGGGGGTATATGTGTTTTTCTGTATATTCACGAACAAGAGGCGCTTTGGGAGGGTGGATTATTTTTTCCGCGTTATCTCTTTTACGTGCATTCTGGGTGCCTGTGAGTGCACAGATTCTGTAAGGCATCTCTCTGAAACATCAATCACGGGCCGATTCTCTGTTCAGACTGTCTCTTATTGTCAGAGTATTTGAACAGTTCGAGGCGTTATGTCTTTCTTTCATATCCCCTGTGTCTACAGCTTCCGTTGAGTTGGCGCCATATATTCTCATAGAAAAAGCGGTAAAAGAATGTATTTGAAGCTGTTGACATTCTTTGTCGTCAGTTTCTGGTAGCCATTTCTGTAGTTGTTTTTCTAGCTTTTTGAAGTCCCCCTCTTAAGGTTTGCACAGCTTTTTTCAAGTTAGTTGTGAAACGTACAACCGTGGCACTCAATTGACATGGTATTGAGAGTGTGCTCTCGTCTTTCCGGCAGAGATTTTAAATAGTTCGCTTTTCTACTGTTGATTCACACCACGGAGCCGGTGCAGTGCTGGGTGACAGCGGCCAACTCGCCGACCCCGGGCGTGACGGATTGCAAGTCACGTGATATCGATTATACTGATGCCTCACCGCTTCCAGTTCCGGGATGGTCCTTCGCGAACAGCTCTCTAGAGAGATCTAGAAGAGAGGAGACAAAACTTCCCCGTGGTCCCCTACCTCAGGGACAACACCTCCTGCTGTTCTGCCGCCTCAGCAAACATTCTGAACGGTATAAAATAATAATAGTATGTCGTGCTGATGTAGACATGAAATATTTTTGTACCCCCATCAGCACCTCTGACGCACCCGCCTCCCACAAGCCTGACCACGTCCACCAACCAACGGAAAGAATCCTGTATCGCCAATTGATTAACCATCTTTGTCTTTACTACCATTTTAATGCCATAAATTAGTTTCTTTTTTTTTTTTATTTATTCCTTTTTGCCTTGGCCTTTATGTGCTTGTCTCCCTGATACAGGAAAAGCTATTGAGAACTTTTTAGTTACATACTGTTATCAGTGCTGTTCACACTTTCGTTATAAATGTCCCCCCCCCGCCCCCCCCCCCCCCAAAAAAAAACCCCACAACAACAAACAAACAAACAACCCCACCCAAAAAAAAAATAAACACACAAAAAGACAAAAAACGAACACAAAAAACAAAGAAAAACAAGCAACAAAACGAATGAACAAACTAAAGAAAAGAGATGTATATTATTATGTCTATTGTTATTTCTCGTTTCTGTGTCCTCGTCAAAGTAGTATTTTATAATGCTGAGAGCTGTTTATGCAGTGAAAGCCTTTAAATACATTTCTTTTTTTTTCTTCTCCGGTTTACGAGAAGTGGGTATGCCCAGTCGTAGCCAAGCTCATTTCCGAGGAATTCTTCACGATTCTCTTCCCAGTAGCCCAGCGCTCAGTCTCCGTTTGAGCTTTTCTGGCGTTATAAACTCTCGTTAAACGGCGTTTTGACGTTTACCATCAAGTAGGACGCTGATTGAATCCCTGCCGTATCATAGCAACAAGTAAGCCAAATCACTGGCTCCTAGTGAAGCACCGTTGGCATGACTGGCCGCTCGCGAGGAAAAAGGGGATTTGGGGGCGGGGAGGGGGTGTGATGGGGATGGATGGGTAGGGTAGAGGGGGGGGGAGAGGGGCTGTTGCTAGTGTGTTTGCCTGTTTGCTCTGGCGTGAGTTCGAGTACTTGAGGTGTTTTCTTAAAGAGGCTCCTTTATGTGAGTGCTTATTGCTTTGTGTCAGTTGCAGATTCTTTCTCTCTCACTCATTCTCTCTATCTCTCTCTCTGTCTCTGTCTCTGTCTCTCTCTCTGTCTGTCTCTCTCTCTGTCTGTCTCTCTCTCTCTCTCTCTCTCTCTCTGTCTCTCTGTCTCTCTCTCTCTCTTTCTCCCTTTCTGTCTGTAACACTGTGTCTGATTCTGTTTGCGATGGTAATGATGATGATGGCTTGGATGGTGGTGGTGGTTGTCGTTGTTGGTTATGTTGACTCTGTGTGTGTGTGTGTGTGTGTGTGTGTGTGTTTGTATGTGTGTGTGTGTGTGTGTGTGTGTGTATGTGTTTGTTTGTGTTTGTTTGTGTGTGTGTATGTGGGTTTGTGTGTTGATATATGTGTGTACGTATGTGTGTATTTGTGTGTGTGTATGTGTGTGTGCATGTGTGTGTGTGTGTGCGTGTGTGTGTCGTCTGTGTTTGTGTGCTCGTGTGCGCTTGTGTATTTAGTTTTGATTGAAGTTGAGGGGGGGGGGGGGTATATGTGTTTTTCTGTATATTCACGAACAAGAGGCGCTTTGGGAGGGTGGATTATTTTTTCCGCGTTATCTCTTTTACGTGCATTCTGGGTGCCTGTGAGTGCACAGATTCTGTAAGGCATCTCTCTGAAACATCAATCACGGGCCGATTCTCTGTTCAGACTGTCTCTTATTGTCAGAGTATTTGAACAGTTCGAGGCGTTATGTCTTTCTTTCATATCCCCTGTGTCTACAGCTTCCGTTGAGTTGGCGCCATATATTCTCATAGAAAAAGCGGTAAAAGAATGTATTTGAAGCTGTTGACATTCTTTGTCGTCAGTTTCTGGTAGCCATTTCTGTAGTTGTTTTTCTAGCTTTTTGAAGTCCCCCTCTTAAGGTTTGCACAGCTTTTTTCAAGTTAGTTGTGAAACGTACAACCGTGGCACTCAATTGACATGGTATTGAGAGTGTGCTCTCGTCTTTCCGGCAGAGATTTTAAATAGTTCGCTTTTCTACTGTTGATTCACACCACCACCGCCCCCCCCCTTTTCCCAGAGAGGTGTGTTTGTGGGAGGTGGGGGGGGGGGGAGGGGGGCGGGGGAGGGTGGGGCGGGGAAATGTGGTCGTCCGATTATATTGTTTATTGATAGAATGAAAGCGATATCCCAAGTGGGGCGTGTCGATAGCTAATTTAGTATCATACTGAATTATGGTTCATACGATCCTGGTTCGAGCTCCTAAAGGAAATCTCAGCCGTGTATATTTTGTTCTTTTGCTTATCCTGGTTTTCCGTCCTTTCAACTGTCTTGTTGGATATGGGCTTTTGAATTTGAGGACCAGCATCTTATATAGCCTTTCGAACTTTAAGAGAGGCGTTAAAATAATACCAACACATTCCAAGCGTTAAAAAATAGCAGGTTGAAATCTCATAGTTCGTTTACAGAACAAAAAGAAAATGTCTATGGTAAAGCAGAAATTTTGGAAAATGCCCCATTTCCATATATTTATTCTCTTTGACTACTTTTACTAATAACTTTTGTAATTTCTACTTTCAGAGTTTTGTCTTCAAAACTACTGGCATTTACACAGCATCTGCCCGTGTAAGCAACGACTATGGGTCAATGGAGAGGAACATCACCATTGTGAGTACAGATTTATTCTTGTCTAAGAGTTTGATTGCTTTGGTTTTTCTTTCCTTTTCAAACCGGTATCAGTTTATAGTTTTGTGCAAGGTGGTTTGAGTTTTTCCTTTGCCCTCTTGGACGTTTCTTACGTTAATGTGTTTTTCATAATGTATTATAGTTATGGCTTTTTTCTTTTTCGCCTTAATACAAATAGAATCTTTCTCCTTGTAGACCAGCACGTTGTTTTCCCAGTTCTTGAAAAGGTGGTGGTTTTTATTTTTGGTTTAAAATGTACAGTTTGTACGTAGCAAAGAACACCGTCTCAGCTTAGCTCGATTCAATCGCCAGCATAAAGCACAGTCCACGGAACGAATAGTCTTACCCTGTGTCTGTGTAGTCTGAGCTGTCTTTTGACCTTTTTTCCTTTTTAGTTTTTATTCTTGGAGCTACAAGACTCTTTGAATTCTCAACGTATAGATGTTCTCCCTTTCTGGATTAGTACGCCACCGTTATGCTCCCAGCAAAGCAGAAAAAAATAGATATTTTTTTCTCCCCCTCACTTCACCCGGTCTTTGGCTGATGGGAAGTTACGTCAATCGTGATAAGATAAACCAGTCGTTTTTTGACCCGGTCACTAACTCAATAAAGAATTCATGAATCAGAGTCCTATATCGAACGCCGTGTACTGCTGCAAACTAGACCACTTGCTCGCTTCATGCAGCCTACATTGCAAGATATACTCTTTGGGTTTAGAATTGCACAGCTCCGTGCGAATAAAATATGCTGACAGAAAAGTCTCAAAGTGGATATTAGCCTCTGTTGCTTTAATGGAATGGCTCACCCCGGAAAATTTGGCTGAACTTCGAAAATTAAGTTTCCCAACTTTTTTTTCGGGGAAATTCGCCTCTTGTGTTTAATTTTGCCAGTTGGTCGACTGAGGCAGCCAGGCTTGAGGAAGGCTCTTAGGGGCTTGATTGGCCTCTAGTGAGTGAAATGACAGTGCTGTGGCCCCGGGCTGCCAGAGTGGGCCTGGCTCTTTCCCCGCGGTGCTCGCCCGCTCATCCTGTTTAATGGGGGGCCTCTTTGATGCTTCAGGTTAAGAGTGGAATCATGGCTAATTCGATAATGACATTTCTCGCCTCCTTGTCCCAGTTGCCATGGAGAGTAAGTATCGGCTTTATCGATGGCTGTCCGTGATTTAAACCTCCGCAAGCCGTCTTTTGTTCCTGAAGAAAAGCTCCTCGGTGGTTTTGCTTCGCTGCGGGTCGATATTATTACCATCATCACTGCCTGGCTGGCGAGTGTATCATGGACATTGACACCGTGTTCTCTCCCCCCCCCCTCCCGTCCCCACCTGATCAAAGCTGTTGGAATGTTGTCGAAACAATAACTATTTATGAGTTTCCCCAATTCCTCAATGACTTCATTGTTTGTTAAATCTCTTCTTGAATATTTCTAAAATGTATGTAGGATGTATTTATCCCATTTGTTGGTGTGAAAAAGCTATACTTTTGTTCCCGCTTTTCTTTCTTTCATTTTATCTCCCTTTCTCTCCCCCCTCTCCCCTCTCGCTCTCTCTCTCTCTCTTTCTCTCTCTCCCTCCTTCTCTCTATTTCACTCCCCTACCCCCACCCTTCCCTCTTTATTCCTTTTTTTTACATTTCTGGTCCTCCATTATTGTTCTTGGGCTTCCCGTAAGATTGGATGTAGTCTTAATATTCACTGGGTGTTTGGTGTGTGCTATATTACCTTCTGCTTCTTCTGCTATTGTTTTCTTTGCTATTTACGAAATGTGGCCATTTATAATGCCAAATTTCCAGTGAACTGCAACTGTTCTATTTTGATTGTTTCATGATAGATCGATTCCACTCGGAATCTGAATGATTATCGAATAGCCAGGTGACTGACAGCCATCTTTGTCTCCTCGTTTTGTCCTCAAAACGTTTTAATTGCTTTACTAGACAGTGACAATGTTGTATTACCTATTGTTTTGAGATTTTTGCATAGATTTATGACTTGAAACTTGTTGTCATGATTTCCTCAATGATATTTTCTAGCTGTGTCTACGACCTCACGGGACTCTCCCCTCACTGTTGGGGTTTTAAACTGGCCTTTAAAGTGTTGTGAGCGGCACATTGTACAGGCACATTGATCCATTATGTTTTCTCAACATGACTTTTACCCTTAAAGTATGTGATACTTTGTCAATTATTCATGTTGGTTATTTGACATACTTTTTATGGACTGCATGATAGGATTTTAGTTACAAATGCCTTCTACAGAGACTAATCCTTGGTATTACGTATTTATGAATTATGCAGACATTTTTAAGGTACTGTCCATAGTTCTTGAAGTTATATAATAATTTGTTTGTGTGTGTATGTGTCTGTGTGAGAGAGATAGATACAGAGAGAGAAAGAGAGAGAGAAATAAAGAAAGAAAGAAAGAAAGAAAGAGAGAGAGAGAGAGAGAGAGAGAGAGAGAGAGAGAGAGAGAGAGAGAGAGGGAGAGAGAAAGGGAGAATTAATAATATGTCCTAGAGCCGTATTAAGATGAGTGTAACGGTTGTACATAACATCACGATGTGGTCACATCCCCTTTGGTTCCATAGGTGGTCTTGGATGAACACATCCGTGACGTTGATGTGCGCCTGGTGGCTAGTAACCCCAGTCTGGCCCGCACCCACAAGTGGCTTCTCTTTCACCTCACGGCCATCACAGCTGACCGTCACAGCACGTCCATCAGAGTGGACTTCCGAGACGGCATCGTCAAAACGGCCGCCGTCAAAGAAAGACAGAACAACATCTCTCCGGCGGACAAATCTGTCCCGACCTTGTTTGCCAGCTACACCAGCGGTTGTAACCTGAGCCTACAGTTTGACCACGTCTATGAGACGGAGGGAGTCTTCTCCCCTCTGGTCACTCTCTATAACAACGTGTCCTCCATGACAGTGTCCGTGCTACCACCCATTACTGTCCTCAGAGAAATCTCTGGCATCAAAATAAGGTCTGATCCCTTTGGTCCGGTAGGGACCTACATACCATTTTTACTTACCTATACTTCAATGTCTAAAAATGTCTCGGTGTTTTGGACAGTCTATAACGAGTCTGGGTTCGAGGTAGAGAGTAAGAAAACCTCGTCATTAGGAACGGCGTTTCAGTTCTCTAGTACAGGACGGTTTAAGGTGACGTGCACAGTCTCTAACCTCCTTGGGTCTGATTCCACCTCGTCTTTTGTTGTCATACTCCAGCCAATTGGAGATGTGTCAATGTCATGTAAGGTCAATCCTTATATAGAAATAGAGCAAGAATTTCACTGTATTGCTGTCGTTGAATCAGGAACCGATTTCAGCTTTCATTGGGACTTTCAAGAGAATTCTAAACTTACCCGTGTTGAAGTTGCGAACCGGACTTCGAGGGCGGAACACTTGTACTTGTACCCCGGTGTGTACAACGTGGGGGTGAAGGTGTCCAACGCATTAGGCGGTGTGACCCGCTCTTTGTCGCACAGCGTGCACGTAGAGATCCCCATCGAGTGCCTGAACGTAGTGACAGAGTCTCCCTCCGTGCCGGGCAAGTCGGTCAACATCATGGCCTCTGCCACGCGAGGCACCAGCCTCACCTTTGACCTGGACGTCGGAGAGGGACGGAAGTTGGTACCTCAAGAAGTGGACACAAGCGGCGATGTGACCATCTTCTCTGTGGGCTGGAACTTTGCCCGTGTAGGCGTGCACCGCGTGACTGTGTTTGCCTACAACCACATCTCCAGCGCCTCCCGCACGGTGGACGTGCATGTGATGGAGATGCCGCCAGAGTTCCGCGTGCACGTGCTGCCGGCACCGCTCCCGTCCTTCAGGACGCTGGTCGCCAGAACTCTCCAGGGTGAGCCAGGCATGGTTGGCTTGTCTGCAACATCTCAAAACCCCTCATGTATAGCTGGTTAGATCCCCTGGTACGCAGCAGTTACTAACTCGTAATATGTATATAACCGGCATGATGGATTGGTCTTCAGAAGTGACTCACTTTTGGTGTGTACGTCTAGCTTGCTTTCCCCTGTCACTTAGATACAATATGTTTGTGAATGGCTTGAAATAATAAATACTATACAGACGCCTACTACTTGTTGTAGGCTTTGCTTTTGCAATGTCGTTGTGGAGAGGGCATGTCAACCTATTTATTGTCTAGTAAAATGGCCGATAAAGTTGGACATGACTTGTGTTTGCAACGTTGTGGTTGTGATAAACCTTTGCCTTTACTAGCAATGACAAATACTAGACTCAACTTTGAGGTTTGTGTCTTTTCCTGAGTTCGGATATTTGATGTTTGGCAAATTGATACTAAATGCTGAACAGAAACTCGGTGCTTTTGCATGCCTTTGATGACATATGTAGTGTTGATCGAATTTCTACTCTACGCTTGACCTAATGTTTTGTACTACCATGATTGAGGTGAATTTTTTTTTTTGGTACTAGCTTGTTATACTGGACTCTGGTGTGCTTTGGTAATTCTAGCATGTTGCGCCAAGTGCAATCATATCAAGGCAGATTAAAAGTTATAGTGCCGCTTTAAATTTGGCTTCAGTGATGCAATTTAATGTTTTTGTTTTTCAATGCATAACGTGTGTCATATCGCATCTGGCATTATCGTAGTTGGTTTGTTTGTGGGAGGGGTGTTTGTTGTTTTTTTTTACTCGCACAATAACCTTGCAAGCACCTTGTACCTGCCACCAATGGGTTTTTTTCACTTAAATTCTTTCACCTCTCTTCTAGGGCGGTGCTACTGACTGAAGTGTCTTTAGGCTATTTCCAAAGGGGGGACATTAACATATTCTTATGCTCAGTAGAATTGTAAATGGGCTGATTCTTCAATGTTGTGCTCATAACTGTGCCTGAACTGCAACGGGGAACTGCTGCTTTTTTCTTTCCTAATCCTTACTATCGTCATTTTCCTCTACTTCTTTTGTATGTTTATCACATTTTTGTGACCCGCTATTCCCGGGGGGCCTTGATTGTCGAAGCAGACTTCGTGCTATTGAAGCTAGAGAGGTGAGCAGAGTAAGCCTGATTCTCTGTAGGGACTTCTCTGTTGACATCCACCCCTTGGCACTCATATGATCGTATGCAGTTGCGAGCACCGTAAAAACTCTACTAAAACAAAGAAATGATTGTAAACGCAGGTGAAGTTGGCCTGAGCTCTACTTTCAAGCCCTGCAACTGAATGGGTTCTTTGTTGTGGTTTTTTGTGATCACTCTGCCTTTTGTTACACCTCTATTAATGATTAAATACTAAACAAACGGGCGATAAAATGGCCGACTCGGCTAACGTTGACAGCACTTGGAGGAGCACTTTGTATACGCTAAGCCTAGATCGGGCCAACTCATTACCGTGATCATAAACACGTTAGTCCTGTTTTAGCTCAGCCAGTCGGGGGAAGGCCAGAAGCTTATCATTTTGCCCGTGTGCTCTTATGACAGGCCGGTGGGCGCACACCGGTGGCGAGGCGAGTCGTGCAGGTGGAGATCGCCGGGCCGACAGGACAGGGAGACGTGTCAGTCATCAGTCAAACTGAGAACGTCCGCGGTTCACCTGTCTCTTCCTATTTCTCGACGGTCTGCTTTGCCCTCTTTGCTCCCTCTCCCCTCTTGTAAAGACCAAAGTGTTGTGCCGTGTTTTAAGCGGTTGGTGTGGCGAGCTATGGCGAGTGGCTTGGCCTGGCGTAATGCACACGTTGAGTACATCTTGAGTGCCATGTAAGTTGCTCTTTTCTTTTCCAACTGAAAGTTTATTATAAATATTTTATGCCCACATCCACATAATTACATAATTTAGGAAGCGGGTGGTCTCGACTCTGCCTTGCCAGAGCGGGCTACCCAGGGCTGAATGTGATACAACATCCTAGCAGATACAGAGCGATACTCCATTACAATTCCCTCCCCACTCGGGAATCGAACTCAGGTCTTCTGCGTACAATGGCTTGAGTTTAACCTTTATGCGGAGACACCTGTTCCAATTGATACAGTGGAAAGAACGAACCCATACTTGACTATTTTATAATGACCACCAAGTTGACTCTTTTTAATGCTCTTTCTTCAAGAAATACTCTTCGTTAATATTAACTGTAAGACGTTGGTGGACAGACAGGGAGTTGGTATTGCTTGTATCGAGTACGGACAAGTAATTTCAGTTTTGCCCACACAGTGGAGTAGATTTTCATACACAAATACCCACACGCTTAGAATGAAGTTCTTCCCTCTGTCCTGCTTCTAGAGCGTGCGTGACTGAAAGTTTACAAAATACTTTGTGTTTGTATACATGGGCGATTGTGGTTTGTTTTGTCTTATCGCCGTAACGCCCAAAAGAATCTTCTGCATACAGACATAGTAGGACTGGCAAAGTTCATGCTGATTGGCGCACTGATAGCTAGTGCCATGCTGGACTGCCGCGGTGCAGACGACCCTAATTCAAATCTCCAGCGTGTTTTCTGTTGTTGTTTGAAGAGTTTGCACTGGCACATGTAAGTTGTTATAGACAAATAAGTGGCGAACCTTGACCGCCGAGGTCGGTTTCTGACGTAGTGTCATCAAAATAAGACTCCCAAAAGTCTGTTAGAGAATGACGTTAATTTTGGAAGTCTCACCACCCCAATAAGCTTACTTTGTGGAGAAGAGTTAAACCTATAGCTTAATTATCGTAGCTGATATTCCAAAACATTGTTTTTGGTAATGATGGTGCCAGTTACAAAGTGACCAAAAATAGGAAAATATTTTGATTTGAATATGAATCTGTAGATTTTTATATTGTTGTTTTTGGCCATTTATTTTGTTTTGGGTCAGGACTACATCTGCTAATGTTGTAGAAAAAAGGTTCCTTGATTAGAGGTTGGAGATTTACCAAGGGGAATTTGTATCTTAGACATTATATGCACGCTCCCACTGGTAGATCTATGTCAATATGGCAAAGCGTGGTGAAAGGCATGACACTATACACGACTTCATAGTGTTCATAGCTGATTGTATTATTTTCTTCCTCATGTCTTTGATGTGTCTCCCGAACGAGCGAACTCCAGGAAAAGCTTATTTCACAGGAAACGAAAAAACCCCAAAACAAACAACCTTCCCCGATTTTGTTTCTTTGATTCAAATGTTTATTCAGGGGGGCTGTATCAGCATATTTCTTTTGATTTCTCGCTAAACTTCCCCTGCGTATATCTCTATATTATATTTGTGAAAGTTCGTCACTTTGGCCGCCTAAAACTTCCGAACCACTTAATTTTCGAATTTGACAAAATTATTGGTAGTTCAGAATCATTTAAAGGGTGCACAGTTTCATTGAGGAGCCTGAAGTCAATGTAGTTTAATTTTGAGTTTTTCATTAGGTTCGTTTAGATTTTATCTTGGGAAAGTCCGTCTTCTAAGACGCCATTGTAAACAAGTGAGGTTTCCGTTCACTAGCCGTGCGCACTGTTTCCGCGCCTTTGAGATTCTGGAGTGTACAACCACTAAAGCAGAATAGAGAACCAATCTATACATCTATTTTATATCTGGCAACTTGGAAACCCATGTGTCACTTTTCTCTCAAGATTTATTGCACTATTCCAATAGAGTGTAAATATAGTAGGCCAGTGACTTTCACATGATGTTAATGCACCGATCATTCCTTTCATCGAAAGGGGGCCCAGCTAGTTGTAGATATTTTTTTTGAAAACGTAAGTCTTGTATAATTCACTTTCTTTCTTTCGGTAACTGCATGTATTTCATTGTTTTATTCCTGCTTATTTGTCTGTTTGTGTGTTTCTTTTTAATTTTTTCACACTTTTTTTCTTTCTGCTACATGAGTTTATTTGTGCAGGTTAAAAAAAGGGGGGGGGGAGGGTTGTTGTACCTCACCCTTGACCACTTTGCGCCAGCGACCATTGATATGCCTAGATGGCAGTGCGTGGCAAAAGGTATGCCTATTATACACGTGGCGCGCCAACTGGGATTTCCCGCACCCTTAGAACGAGCATGATGTACACGCGCATTCCTCAGTACCTCTGTCGGGGGTGTCTATTGTTCCGGTGATGAGCCGGGAATGTCGAATATTCCAGTGTAAAAGGGAACACCGGAGCCTCAAAGCGTTGTTGGCCGGTGTGAGGAGATCTTGATGCCCCAGAAGCAATCATCTCCTGTTCATGCGCTCATCTCGTCTCAGTCTTCCCTCCTACCTGCTTCCGTTTCTGCCAGTCTCTATCTGTCAGTCCATCTGTTCGCATCTCTCGTCTGTCTGCGTATTTTCTCCGTGAGTACGTCCCGGGCGCCACTGCTAGATATCTTTTCTTCCCTTTTTTCCACGGTTCATTATGATTATTGCCTTTGTGTCAGTGAACTTCCGGTTTGCCTTGTCGGGTGAATGCTCTGGTGTAATAATATGCCCCCTTTTTTGTGGTCGTTTGTACAGTATTAATGTTGTCCACTCAAAAGCATAACTGCTGTTTCTGCCCAAAGAGAGATAACCCATGTGTGTGAATCGAATGGTTGTTGGGCGCTTAGATATGGTTTCCCCATTCCCTTTTCATTGTTGTAATTACCTCAATCTGCTCCTGGCAAAATCCATGTAGATCTAGATGGGTGGCGGGAACTCTGGTGTGGTCTTACTAAAACTAAAAAATTGAAATCCAACGATTAACGTGCTGCTTCTCTCTAAAGCTGTAATCAATATTATATTCCTTATATCTAAAACTTTTCTGCTTGCGTGTCTTTGTGTTATAGTGTGATGTGGGTAATATGTGGTCTACGATTGCTCAGAGATATCGTCGACGAAATGTAGCCGTTGGTGTGTATACTGCCAACTCTGTGCTGGTCTTCCTCTCATGCTCAACTTCTTGTGTTTGTCTACGCGCCTGT